ACAGGATTTTAACCTAGGCAGTCTCAGAGCCCAGATGCTAACCTCCCATGCTCCGCTGTCTCATCCCTCCAGACCCAGCCCCTCTCCTCCACTACCTCTGCATCCCTGCCCTGCCTCAACAAGGTCTTGCCCGTGCTCATCAGCTCTCCTGCAAACTGCAGTAGCTCACTGCCTCCCTCCTCAACAAACATGCAAGACAGCCCCACTTCAGCCTCTGCTCACAGCCGTTGCCTACAGGACAGAGTGTAACCCATAAACACAGCACACCATGCCCTCCCCAAGCTGCCCCCAACCAGTCCCAGCCTCATCTCTACCACACCGACTGCACTCTCAACCCCCGCACAGTCATCCCAGTGCCTCAGCCTGGGCACAGGCAAGTTCCTCAATAGGTGCAGCTCATAGGTCACCTCCCCTGTGAAGCTGTCCCTGGCTCTCTCCTCTCAACCCCCAGCTTGCTAAGCAGAGCTTGGTACTCTGCCCTCACAGAGCTCTTTGTGCACACCTTTATTATGGCACGTAACACATGGGGTTATAATTACATGTTCCCAAATCTGTCTCTTCCAAGAGTCTGGGAGTTCCTCAATGGCACAGACCACGTCTTATTCATCTTTTGAACCCTCAGTGCCCAGTACTGGGTAAACAGGAGGTGTTCAAACAATATTAATTGAACAAATAAACGTCCCTCATTTCAAGGGGTTACCCAAAACAAGGTTAGTGGCGAAGATTTCTAACCAGTGACTCAAGACTGTGCATCTATGTACGTGTATTGTACGTGTATGTGTACGTGTACACACACAGACACACACACACGGAGAAGCTAGAGGTGGTTGGGGGCCCCTATGCTGGGAATGCTCAGCTTTTCCAGTCATCTCTGAAGCAGGCCCCTTTCCTAGGTTCACAGGAAAGAGAGCCCCAGCTGGACAGGGCGCCTGGCATGGCTGGTCTGGAAACCCACACACACATCAGGGCAAGCTTGGGGTACTGAGGAAACACTAAGAGGTCTGACTTCCCCTGGAAAAACTGCGGTCAGACAGGAAACACACAGGCGGGGATGGCTAGCTCTGGAGATCCGGACAAGTGCTCTTGCCCCTCTCCCACTGGGAGCAACCAGCCAGCAGAAAGAAAACCCCTGATGACACCGTGCCTCCTGCGTCAGGTACCTTGGGCCTAGCCCTCAGAGTAGGCCTCGTGGTCTGTCTCCTCACTATTCTGACAGCCACGGGGGTCAAGCCTCAGATAGCAGGTCCCACTATCACTTCTTCTCTGAGCCTACCTGCCTTGTCCAAGCGACTTTGCTTTCTTCTGCCACCCCAACCCCACTGTGTACAACTTGGAATTGTCACTGTCTGTTTCAGTTTGGAATTGTCACTGTCTGTTTTAGTTTCCCTGAGGGCAAGGACCTGTTTTCATTTACTGCCTAAGGGGGCCTAACATCTAGAAGAGTATCTACAGAAGGATCAAAGATGAAAGCCTGTGGCTCCAAAAGTCCTCACAGACGTGCTTGGCTTGCGTTCAGAGCCCTCCAGAGTCTCCACCCAGGCCACTGTGCCCACAATGGCCCTTGAGTGGAACCATCACTCTAGAAGGCACCAGAAAGAAAAGAACCTAGAGGGGCCGTGGCTGTCTGTAATGTACGGTCTGAGCATGAAGGTTTCTCCTCACAGAGGAGCAACACAGACCAGAAGGACAAGGGGCCTGAGAGTAGAGTCCTCTTGGGACTGGTCAGCCAGCCACTGGCTGGGTCCAGCTGAGACTGCCACATACCAGCACTATCACCTGTGGCATAATTCACTTCCTGCATTTCCATTTCCTCGCCTGTAAAATGTGATGGTACTCGAGACCACCCCTCAGGGACCCTGTGACGATTAGCCAAGCAAACACAATGAAAAGTCTCCGAAGCACACAGCAGGAAGGTTTGTATTCACTTATGTCAGTATCTGCAACATAAAAAAACAAACATCGACCTGGTTCCTGTCATACCACCATGGCAACAGGCACCAAAGCACTTCCCCACCCCTCTTTTGAGCCAAACTACCTCCCAAGAAATCAGCAGGTGCCAGTCCCATTTCACAAGTGGTAAAGTGAGAGGGCTCAGAGTCAGGCCAGAACCAGGTCTATACACAAGTGCTATGCACGTTCATTGAACCACACCGGCTCTCCTTCAGGGCCACGGACACCCTGAGGATAGCAAAAGTGTCTCTCTCTTTGCTTGGGCTAAAGGCACCGCATGGTACCCGGCAAGGTCAGCAGGAAAAGGTCAGGCACCTGGGCGCAGGACACAGATGGCAACCCAACCTTCCTCAGGGCCTACAGAGGGGGGCTGCGAGGCTCACAACCACTACCAAGGTGTGCCCAGGAAGGGGCAGAAGTGGGGCAGCTTCACTGGGAGGCTCCATCTGCAAGGTCTGAACTCCACGCAAGCATCTACTAGCCTTTTTACCAGACTCCTTCAATCCAAGCCTCCAAAACCAAAGGGCCAGGGTGACTTCTATGCCCTTTGCTATGCTCCAGGCCTCTCAAATCCCAGCTAACTGATGAGATCAACGAATTCGTACCCCTCTGGCTGACCCACCTTGGGGGCTCGGTCATCAGGTCCTCTGCATTCCTGTCTCCATCCCCCAAAAACCTGAGACACAGTAGACTAAACTCTTCCCTCTCCAGACCCCATCCTTCTATTCAGGCCCCAACATACAAATAAGAAAGTCATAGCTAGAAGTCAGATGTGCACATATCCGTACACTCACTCTATACACTGTTCTACGTGGTAGGTGGGTGGGTAAGTAGATGGGTTGGGGCAAAACAAAACCATTTCCTCCCCTTTTCTGGGTAGCGATCTAAGCAAAATGTGAACTTGGTCCCCATCCTCCTTCCTTCCTGCACCCTCACCCTCTCGGACAGCCACACTCGTCGTCCCTCAACATTCCCAGTCCAGGGTCTAGGAGGGCAGTCACAGTCTATTATTGTTATTGTCATTATTGATAACAGTTCACATTTATTCAACATTTACAACACCAGGCACTATGCTATGTGTGTTACATCAACTCTCATTTAATCCCCAGAGCAACCATATATACTTCCATTTTACAGATGAGGAAACTAAGGCTCAGAGAAGGTAAGGAACCAGCCAGGGGACACCCAACTAATATATGGGCTTCAAATCCCACCTTGGCTTCAACCACCGTGCTGCACCTATTGGCTGCTGGTCTGAAACGCAGCCTGTTATCCAGGAGATTTCTATCTGGGAACCTCCAGCCAGTGCTGCCAATTCAGCAGAGCACAGGGAGCACCACAGAAGCAAGGGGCCATGCCTGGAGTCGATGCCTGGGTGAAGTTCCCAGAACTATCTCAGCTCTCTGCAGTGTCTGTCCTTCCTCCACTTTGGAATCCAGTTTCTCAAATCACTAAAATTTTCTCCCAATGGCTGACAGGGCCCATGCGGGCATGGGGAAGGCAGCTGCCATTTCTAAGTTCAGCAACTGTGTCAGATCTGGAGTGTGCAGTTGAGGATGGCTGCCTCACCACAAGACCTTCCTTCCTCCCAATCTCCTCACCCATCTATATGCATGCACACCATACCCAAGGAGGTCTGTAGGACCTTCCCTTGGGGGTCTCACTTCCTGACCCTCCTTCCTCCACATAGACCTAGTTCTGAGCCTGGTTTTCTCTAACACCAGTCTCTGGGGGTCCCTGCAGGAAGCAACCCACAGCCTGGCGTTGCAGACACATCATCTCTCACCCTTGGAGGCGGGGGAATGGAGGGCAAAGCTGGGTGCCCATCCGGTCACAGCACAGGCACGTGCTAAGTGGAATAACACTCTGAAAGATCTGGGGCTTTTCAAACTCTCTCTTCCCAACTGAGACCTGCACAAAGGCAGCCAAGCTCAGGCCTGGGAAGGCAAAGAGGCAGGAAACCAAGAGTAGCCGCTCCCTGCAGGCATGGGACACAGGACGCAGGACACAAAGGGCTAGACCTCAAACTGGCTGCCAGCTCTTGAAAAGAGTACCTGACTCCAAGGCACTGAGGCTGGCCTTTCTGGAACCAGCCTCCAAGGGCAAGGGGAGCCTGGCCCCTTAACCAAGGGTCCCTGCCCTGGCTTTGGATGTCTCTGCCCACTCACAGAGAGCAATTTCAAGACAAAAGCGGCAGCGGGAAAGGCCGCCTCTGCCTTCTCTCAGGCTTCTCCAAACCAAACTGGACGACTTTCCTCTTTCTCCCCTGGAGGGAATCGAGTAGGCCCAGCTCCAAAACCAGCCCTACCTCGACATCTGCCTAAGTCCTACTTCGGGAACCCAAAGCTTCCTTTGCAAAGAAGAGCTCAGCCTGGGGGTCCGGCGGCTTTCACCAAGAATGCACTTTTTGGAGAAAGGGTGGTGAGAGGTGACCGTCCGGTCTGGCCCAGGTCCTAGGGAGAGTGGGGGACACTGCCATGGCTCCCCTCGCCTCGGCAGACACCACTCCTGGGGTGTGGGGGACTTGATGCCTGCCCTGCTGGTCTCCAATCCGCTAGGATCTTCAGGCCTCCGCGCAAAGCGCCTGGAACACTCCCCCCTAGCTGGGGGAGGGGGTGTTGTCAGGTGATCAGAGACCCGGATGCCCCCCGCCCCCGGTGACCACCCGGCACGGGGCGGGGGCGGGGGCGGGGCGGGCCCGAAAGTTGGGCCAAGTTACTCGGGCGGCGGGCCGGGGCGCGCGGGAGCCGAGCGCGGACCCCCGCCGCCCCCGCGCGCGCCGAGGGCCCGGGGCGGGGGCGCACTTACTGGCCCCCTCGATCTTATCCGCGCCGCGGCTCCACGTGATCTGCCGCGTCTCCAGCTTGACCTGGAAGGTCTTCCGCTCGGGCCGCTGCGACTTCTTGGAGTAGAACAAAGTCATGACGGTGCCCACCTCGAGGCTGCGGCAGAGGTGCAGCACCTCGGCGTCCGAGGGCGCGCCGGGCCCGCAGCCGTTAGCGCAGGGGGACGCGGCGCCGGCCATGGCTCCGGCACGGGGGGCGGCAGGGGCGGCGGAGGCCCGGCCGGGGAAGCAGGCGGCGGCGACGGCTGCGGCGGCCGGCGAGCGGGCCCCGGCGGCGGCTCCTGCGGGCGGAGACGGGGCGGGGCCTGAGCGGGGGGCGGGGTGCCTGCAGGCCCCGCCCCAGCCCGCGCGCTGGGAACAAAGGCGCCCGCGCGCCGTGGGGAGGACCCCCACCCGCCGCGCCTGCGCCCCGCGACCCCCGGACAGGCCCGGGGCGCAATGGCGGCGGGCGCGCGCGCAGGCGCGCGCGAAGCTGGCGGCTGACCAGCGTGTCCTCCGTCCTGCGGAGCTTCCTCGAGCGGCTCCGGACACAGCCCGGCAGCCTCGGCCGGCCCGTCACGCGCGGCAGCCCCGCGCCGGCCCGCCAGTCAGTCGCACACGCACAGGCGGCCGCCCAGCCCGCCGTCCCGCACAGGCCCAGCCGCAGCCGTTTCCTCAACCCCGCTCGCCCGAGCGCCGCCCGCGCCGCGACGGGGAGGAGAGGTGAGGATGCGGAGCGTCGCCCCCGGGCCCGCCGGCCAAACCCAGTTACCTGGGCGCGCTGCCCGGCGGAGGGAGCCAGGCCAGGCCGGGCCGCCTCACACCCGCGGCGGCGGCGGCGGCGGCGGCGGCGGCGGCGGCGGCGGCGGCGGCGGGTCCTCCGCGCGCCCTCTTCGGGGAGGGGCGGGGGCGGGGCAGCCTGCGGATTGGCCGGCGGGCTCTGATGGACAGCAGGTCTGTCCCGCCCCTCTCCTCTAGTCGTGCGGGGCTGGCCCGCAGGCCGCTCCTGGGACGGCCGGACCCACGGCTGTCCAGGGCTTGGCGCCTGTGTGGCCTTCGAGGTTCCCGTCATTCGGAGAAGCCCCCCAGGCCTGAGGTCCCCGGCAGGGCCTTTAGACCTGCGGCCCTCGGTGGCCTTCGTCTCTGCCCCTCGCAGGGGCCACTGCCCGCCCACCTCCCGCTCTGTCTCCACGCGGCAGGCTGTGGGCTCAGGCCCTGCCTCACCGCTCTCCTCTTGCAAATGCTCTCCCGAGCTTTGGTTTTCCTGGCCTGACTCCCCTCGTTTTCCTCCTCTCTCTCTGGCGGCTGCCTTTCGGCCTCAGAAGCCTCTCTTCCTCTGGGCTGGGTCCTGCGCCGGTTCCCAGGGCGACCTGACCTTTCCCATGGCTTCGCCCCCCACCGAGACGCCCTCAGCGCCAGATTTGTATCTCCTTTGCATCCCACTGCCTGCTCCACGTCCCTGCTTGACACGCGCGCCTCGCCGCCCTCCTCCAACTGCTCCTCCCACAGCCTTCGCTTTCTCACAACAAGGCGTAAACTCCTCTGAGGTGCTTAGGCTGAAACCCTTCGGAGATATGCTTGATTCCTGTCTCTGCCTCAACCCCACGGCAATCCATTAAGGCTGGTTCACGCTACCTTCAGATATCTCCACTCCGCCCACAAGCCCAAGGCCCATCTTCTCACCCAGTCTATTTACCCTTCTTGGTCTTGCCTGCATCTGTTCTCCATGCTTTAATCTTAAAAGTGAAATTAAATCACGATCCCCTACCGCTGTCCTCAAACCTTCCATGACTGCCCATTGCACATAAAATCCACTCTCCCTACCTGGCCCAGCTGGTCCTGTATGGTCTGGCCCCTTTCTCTCTCTCCCGCTTCATCTCTCACCGCCTCCCCTTCACTCTCCACTCTCTAGCTACAAGGGCTTTTTATGGTTATTTGAACGATTCACGCTCTTTGTCTTCCTGAAGCCATTCTCTAGACTCACTCCTGCAAGCTGGCTGCCCCTGTCACATTGCTTCCCTTATCACAGAGCACCGCCCAAACTGAAAACACCTGTGGTCACGGTGGAGCCAGGCTGACAGATGTTGAGCCAGACAGAGCAGAACAACTTACTGCATTTCAGAGCTGAGAGGCCCAGCAGAGCGCCCAGCTGATGCCAGAGAAAGATCCAGGTTTCCTGGAGTCTGTGAGTATAGGAGTGTGTGGTCAGGCAGCCTACCCAGCTGAGTGGTGAGTAGTGTCTGGGGCTGCCTCTGACTTTGTCTTGATGTGGGGGGGGGGGGGGGGGTGTGTTGATTCCCTCAGGTGCGGCCCGGCCCGTAAAGGCTGAGAACCTCAAGTTGAGACGCTTGTGCTAATAGGCTTCGGCCACCTAAGGGAAGGTGGACTGGCTGAGGCGGACTGCCACCTAGTGACAGGCCTTTAAAATGGGAGGTAGGGAACTAAAGTTGACCTAATGCACCCCCAGCGCTATAAGGCGTACACATGTGGTCACACCTGATCCTCATAATTACTCTTTAATCAGGGATTATTGTCCCCAATTTACTGATGAGGAAACTGAGATTCAGAGAAGTTCTACAACTTGCCCCAAGACTGCGTAACTAATAAATGGGGATTTGAACCCAAGTCTGTGTAACTCCATGCATTTTCTGCCTCACAAGAGAGCCACTGGCTTAAATAGGTCCTTGTGTTCTGTACCCAGTGGGCACAGAGGCTAGCTGGCTAATCAGGATGGGTCGGGGAGGCCCTAGGCATGGCTGGCCCTAGGCACAGGGAACTTGGCAGAACGTGAGTGCTCATAGAGTGTGGCTTGGGCAGGCTTGGGCTTAAAGTGATGCTGCCCCTGTATGTGGCCCCTGAGCATCCCTGTGCTACGTATTGGCGCTATGAGTTGGGAGAACAAGAGAAACCCAGCACCAGCCCTCCAGGAATTCACAGACATTAAACAGATAAACACTCTGTTATGTAGGGACAATTGTGATGGGGGCTAGAAGCAAAAGAACAGAGAGCTATTAGATAAAACTTTAGGGAGACCTACTTCAGATCTAGTAGACTAGGAAGACTTCTCCAGAACTCAGCAGAGGCCTAAAGGATGTGAGTAAGTGGCTAGGTGAATTATCAGAGGTGGGTTGGAGGAAAGTACTTTACAGACATAGGTAACAGCATTTACAAAGACCCTGAAGCCAGCAAGAGCTTAGTGAGTTGAGGAATAGAAAGGAGGCTGGTTTGCTAAGCAAGGGGGAGCATGGGAGGTGATGAGGCCAGGAAGACGGGTAGGGGCCCCTCTCTGCTTATCTGGCTTTGTCCATCTTTCCAGGAGGCCCCCTCCTAAGTGTTACAACCCTCGTTTAACTTCTGCTGCCTACTTGGGCAGCCTGTGGACCGTGATGCACTTTTAAAATCTATTTCTCCATTTTCTGGTAGCTTCCCGACATGCAGCCCATGCTTCCTTGCTTTTGCTTTTGCCTCCGGAGCCAGGCCCCCAGGGGCTCCAGAAATTCCTGCCAACAGGAGCTCATGTTTTCAGTCTTCTGCCAGGCCCTTAATCAGGAAACAGGGCCCCATTTCCTCCTGGGACTTCTGAGCCAGCATCCCAGGCCTCAGGTGCCTCCCTCCAGCAAAGGAGGTTCAGGAAAAGCAGGTCGCACAGAGGGTGTGGCTAGTATGGGCTTCCCCCAGCTCAGCATGTATATATGGATACGTGGGTGTAACTGGCAGTGCGTGCAGCTGCGCTGGCTGGGAGGGAGCAGCCCAGCACCCTCACAAGGCACACGCCCTGACGTTACCCAGGCTAGCCCTCTTGGGCCTATTTCTGTCAACACTCATGCTTCAACATGCTCTGGCCTACACCACACCTGTCCTGGAGTCTGGGGAGGAGTCCCAGCCCAAAGCCCCTCTGGGCCTGACCTCACAGGTGTTTTTTTAATTTTATTTACTGAACACTTAGAATAGCGCTTGGCATGTTGTACGCCGTATGTAACTGCTTTACCCATGTTAGCTCACTTACTTCTCATTACAGCACAATGAGATACGTACTCTTATTATCCCCATTTTACAGATGAGGAAACTGAGACATGGAGAGATTAAGAGATATGCTCATGGACACACTAAGAGGTGGCAGAGATGGGATTCAAACCCAGGCAACCCGGCTGCAGAGTCAATGCTGTGTTCCCTCCCACATAGATGTGAACATTTTATTATGTATCCTCACCTTTCCCCTAATACCCCTTCCTGATGTGTTTTCTACTTTTATTTATTTGGTTAAATGTTGTCACAAGTTGGGTTCTTTGGGAGGCAGACTCTGTGACAGAGGTTGGTGTGAAGAACGTTTATTAAGGAGTGCCCTTGGGATCGACACTGGAAGAGAGAGGAAGGAGGCAGGAGGGGGCACAGGGAGAAGTTAAGCTGTGATACAGCCCTGATGACAGCCTCAGCCAGCCCCTAGGGAGCTCTGTGATCCCATGCTGGCTTGAAATGGCTGGGCCTTCACAGCCCCAGGTCAGTCAGCCATTGGATGTGGGCTGCCCTGGGAAGAGCACAGCCTCTGCTGCACGGCTCTCTGCAACTGAGGTGATCTTAGCGGGGTGACAGGTCTCCCAGTAGTTGGAGCAACAAGTGCTTCCCTGAAGGGGAATCTGAGTGGCACATCACTGTGCCCGCCACAAATGTATTCTTTTCCAGTCCTTTAAAAAAAGTTTAGAGGGAGGCCAGCCCAGTGGTGCAGCAGTTAAGTTCGTACCTTCCACTTTGACAGCCCGGGTTCACTAGTTCAGATCCTGGGTGCAGACCTACACATCACTTGTCAAACCATGCTGTGACAGGCGTCCCACATATAAAGTAGAGGAAGATGGGCACGGATGTTAGCTCAGGGCTAATCTTCCTCAGCAAAAAAAAGGAGGATTGGCAGCAGATGTTAGCTCAGGGCTAATGTTCCTCAAAAATAAATAAATAAAAATAAAAAAAAGTGTAGAGCACTTACAGGACAAAAATAGTGTATTTTAGAAATGGGATATACTTTTATAAGAAGGAGGAATATAATATGGTTAGTATGGATTGCCATGGCTGCTGTTAATGAGAATCAAATGTGGCTGAGCTTCCTGGTAGCTAAAGCAAAAACTCTATTCTGGTAACTGACTCCTTGGGAGAGAAAATTTTCCTGAGGTTAAATTATGAAAGAAGTTTCTCATATGGACACTTACTTGATTGAAATAGTGGAGAATGTTCTCAATAGATTAACAGCAAATGCTAATGAAGTTTTCATTTGTTCCTTATAATAACCATATGTGAATACAGAAGGTATAATATAAAAGTATAGCTCAGTGAAGCCCCTTCTACAATTGAAGGTGGGCAGATTTATAGACTTGCAGTGTCCAATTTGATCCACACATCAAACTTGATCCCTTTTCTTTAAACTGTTCTTTAATTTCTACTCAGTAGTTTCTTACATGAGATGTCTGACCCGCCCTTCTCTGGGTCTGTGAGCCAGCCTGTACCTCAGCATACAGCCAGTCCTCAATAAGGACTCAGCTCAGTGCAGCTTGAACTCCACCCCACAACCTGTGGTCGAGGCTCCTGACCTCTGGCCCAATATCTGTCTATGGTTCCAATTTAGTTGTTGGGCCTCACACTTCTTAGGTCATGTCCTCTAGCTCTCCTCCTCACCGGGGATGTACTCTCAGCCCCTTGAGAGCCTCATGTTTCCTATCAAGGCAAAACCAGGCCTCACCCAGCCGCTCCCAGAAACTGTGCTCTCTCTGCAGACCCTGCTTCCCCTTTGCTGATGGACCCCTATAGTGGGACACGGATGTTGAGACAAGAGAGCTGGGCTCCAGACATACCTTCTTCAGGGAGGTGGCAAGGACGCTGTAACTGCTTCACTGAAGGAAGGGAAGGGGAGAACCCTTACTAGCCGCTGGCCAGGACAGGGCAGCCTGCTATTCTCTTCTCTCTCTCCCTTTCTTCCAACAAACACTCTTGATGCCTCCTCTATAGCAGTTAGAGAGCAGAGATGAATCAGACCAAGTTCCCACTCCAGCAGTGGATAAAGAGATACCAACAGAAATTTGTCAACAGATGATAATTCAGTGTGATAAGGGCCCCTCGAGTACTTAGAAGGGTCACCTGCCTTAATCTAGACCTGTTGGTGGCTGTGGGATAGACAGAGCAAAGTGAGAGAGAGTGTATATGCCTGAAGATACGGAGGTTCCAGATATAAGGTGATCACTCATTTTTGCAGTAAAGTCACTCTAGGTGTTCTATGGCTTTTTTTGCAACTAAAATACAAACGTTTTTAGAGATGCATGAATCAAATGTCCACATATAACAGTTTATTTAGTTGCACATACATATTTTAAGTCACATATTATTTAAAACAATATATTAATTTATGAATATTGCTTTTCCCACTCTTACCTTTCTTATAAAAAATTACGTTCAGACTTTTTACATGAATATTTGACTTCTATGTAGTTGTCACCATAGAGCCACTTTTTGGGTTATCTAATAATTTCTGAAAACATCACCTTCACTGCCTTCCAACTTGTTTGAGAGAGAGCACTTTTGAAAAATCAGCTTTGAGGAATAATTTACATATAATCAAATGCACCCATTTTAAGTATAAAGTTTGGTGAGCTTTGACAAATGTATACCCTTATATGATCTCCACCCAATCAAAAAATATAGAACATTTCCATCACCCCAAAAAGTTTCTTGGTGCCCCTTTACAGTCACTCTCCCCTGCCCCCATCCAACAGACACTAATCTACTTTCCGTCACTACAGGTTAGTTTTGCCTGTTTTAGAATTTCATGTAAATAGAATTATAGGGTATAGACCCTGGTGACCACGTTCAACGTAAAAACTCTTTTGAGATTCATCCATGTTGTTGCAGAGACAATACTTTTTGAGTCAGTATGTGATGCTATCACTGGAAATTTTAACCTGAGCATAATTACCTTTTTGTATAACATTAAAACGGGTTTTTTTTTCATTTCTCCCATAGATATATATTGACGTGCATAATAACCACTTACTGTATTGCTTAAAAAATTTTATGGAAAATTTCAAATGTACATAAGTATAGACAGGATAGTATAGTGAACTTCCATGTACCCATCAGCCAGCTTCAATTATGAACTGGCGGCCACTCATTTCATGTCAGACTCTACCCACTAACCCTTTCCATGTTGTTTTGATGCAAAGCTTAACTCTAATACATCATCCATAAATATT